CTTGGTTCTGATGGGGAGAGACCAGGCTTTATACTTTAGATGGCTGCTCACAAGACGGAAGACCCCAGTCGCTACTCACCAAAGTCAGATGGACACCACTGTCTTTGTGGGTTGTGCTGTGCTCATGGGGCTTCCCCAGATGTTGGTCCTGAGACCCCAGGCTCAGCACTTCATTTCCTCAAGGTGTCTGGTTAGGACGAAGTTTTCAAAACTTTCCCCTTCTATTCATGGATATGTTTCTAGCACATACAAACATATATATAGTATGTATTTAATGTATACTTTCAAAAAGAACATATGCTTGAAAAAAATTTTTAAGGCAAAAATCTATAGTGGAACTAGTTATCCCAGCTTCAGAAATAAATACTATATCCCTAAACAGCAGAGCGTTATGTTCGGATTAATCTTTTTCTTAAGATACTTTGAAGAATTTATTTTGAAGTAGGCAGGAAATATTACATTTTATTTTGTAATCTTTAGACTTTGGATTTGGAATAATTAAACTAAGATATTTAAAGTTACTGCCAAACATATTTTGCAGCCTGCTTATTTGCTTTATTTAACTTGGAAATTTACGTTCTTTCCTAGGATGGAATCTATCGAGAAGATGGAGTCCGATTTTAAAAATTGCCATATGTTTCTTGTAACTATTTTGAACAAAGCTGTCTGCAGAGGATCCTTTCCCCACTGTAAGCGCATCATGTTACAGCATTGTTGCTGTATATTTTCTTGTAGCTAAGCTTGTGTGCATTGCTTTATTGATAACACATAGAATTTGAAAAGGCCGCCATTTTCCCAATTGAAAATCCTGTTCGTACTTGTGCCATGCTTTGAGTTGAATTTTCTTTAGGATGACCGTGGAATGAGTGAATATCAAATGTGAAAGACCCAAGACTAATGATCTTGTTTTGTGGTATAAAATTTCATCACACCAGTAATGATTTCTAAAATTTTTATTGCAGAAAGCAGATGGCAGAATAGATTTTTGTATCATTTGGCCGCCATGCTTAGCATTTGTAGCTATTCCTTTTCAAAAGATAGGATTTTCTTCAGCAATTATACGACTGTCCCGGCTTCCTCTTAGAAGGAAATGGTAACCTGCCAATTCCGAACACAGCCTGGGAAGTAAACCGAAGTCTGTGGGGGAGTCAAGAGTAGAAGAAAGGATTTAATTTAAATGTAGAAACCAAGAGGTAGTATCTCTTTGCATGACTTTTTGAAAAGTATGAAGAGTTCATCTCTTTTCCATTTATGAATATTCATAATGGGACATTCTGAAAATTGTGTTAATGTAAAATTTTAACACATTTGTTGTCCTTCACTGGGTGTTATTCATGTCAATTTTATTCATAGATTAGAACAAAGCATTTGAACACATCTTTGACAAATGGAACAAGTCTGATTTGTTCTGTGAAATCTTTGTTACCCATTAACAGTCGTCGGTGTTTGGATTAAAAATTGAAGGCGTCTTTAAATATTTTCCATGTTGATAGTTTATTAAAGTCTTATTCAAACATTTTCAATTATTCTATGCTTTTTAACCTTATTTTTTCTTTTTTCACCAGTGGAGTCTTTAGCACTGTCACTCATGGCTGGCATGGAGCAAAGTTAGATCTCCTGAACTACAGGAAATACCTCAAGATTCTATCTTCAGACAGTTCTGTTGCCACTGTGTGTAATTGAGACATTCGGTATTTTTATTTTGGTTTTAAGAAATATTGTCCTCTGTCTCAACAGTGGACAGGTAGGATTTGAAGTGTTTTCTAGGGCCCTAGGCCTATAAGAGGAACCTTGGCTGCACAGTCGGTTGAGCATTGGGCTGCTAAGGACAAGGGCAGCGATTTGATCCTACCAGCCAGTCTTCAGGAGAAAGATGAAGCTGCCTACTCCCATGACAATTGCCAGAGTCGGAACCTTCTGGAACAGTGCTTCTCTGTCCTACTCGGTCACTAAAGGTCACAGTCAACATGACAGCAGAGGGCTTGGGTAGGATTTGGCGTTTTTTAGTTTTTGTGTCAGTTTAGGTTTGTAGGTATTTTTCTCAGGAGGCCATCAGCTAATAAGAGGTAATGTATATAAAATATATAAAATGGATATAGGCTATTTACACTTATATTTCCTATAATAACTTAAAGACTTACAGTATTTGAATGTAACGTGTGTATAATCTTTTGAAAATGTAACTGTTGCTAATAGAAATAAATTACATGAAAGCACTTTACGTTCTTTTTTTCTTCTTTTGTGTTGTACATCCATCACCTAAATCTTTTTTTAAGACCTTTACATATCAGCTTCCACAAAGTTTATTTTATGTTTTAAAAGCATTTATAGTTTATAGATAAAAATGGAAAATAGCTTTAACCAACATCAACAAACATAGAATGCTAACTTCATGTAGGGCTAACTATTGGTACAAACGATTGTTCTGCATTTCTGAGCTTTTTGTTTTGTTTTGTTTTGTTTTTTGTCAACTAACCAGTTCTTTCTTGTTGTTTTTAACCAGTTATTTCTTACATTAAATATTTACCATTCTGTTTCCACATTTTCGTTGTAAACATCCTTGTACAAACCCCACTGCCTTCAAGTTAATGTAGACTCCTAGTGACCCTACTTAGGCTGTCTGAGACTAAATCTTTGTGGCAGCAGAAAGTTTCATCATTCTCCTGAGGAGCAGCTGGTGATTTTGAACTACCAACGTTGCAGTTAGCAGTCCAGTGCTTTTCCTACATTGTTACCAGGGCTCCTTCAGCATTATGCAAAAAGTTCATGGGAAAAATGGAGTTAAAGATAACGGAGGAGACTCCCAGCAAGATGGCGGACAAGGCAGACACACTACACAGACCCTCTACAACAGAGATAAAAGAGACCAATGTGACACAGACACAGATGATAATCCTGGAACCCTGAATTTCGGAGGAAAGACTAGAGATGTGGAATAAATACCAACTAAGAGAAGAAGCTGAACAGGGCCAGCAAGAAAGGAGACAGGTGAGTTGTCAGCTGGTCTCACTCAGGGCAGCCATCTTGAATGTTTGCAAGCAGCGTTGGATATACAGCAGCCTGCTGGGTCAGCTGCGCATGGGTGCCTAGTGATGAAAAAGGTGGCATTCTCTCTCATTGCCCACACTCCCCACTCTTAACACCCCTTGCGTATCCCCTGCTCCGCGAGAGGTTAGGCCATGCCATTGTGAGCCAGGCACTGGAATGAATCCCCTGCAAGGGGTGAACTCTGCTTCTTCAGACTTGGAGAGCACACAGAGCCCATTCCCAACCAGCCTTAGACCAGCGTGAACTCAGAACCAGCCAGTCTGCTCCCAGCTACCCTCTGGTCATCAGAGTTCCTTCTAGAACAATTACCTGAACTCAGCTACTTTGAGGGCCTACACACACAACTTCCAGATTGGTTGATCTGTTCATAAACATCACCAAGTGCTACAGGAACTCCATCTAGGGTCAGGAAAGCCTCTGTTCACCCCTTCTCCCGCCCCATGAGCTCCGTGGCTGGCAGGAGCCACACAAGCCTTTTCTTTCCGTTGTTTTAGGTTTTGATTTTTCTCTCAGTCTCTTTTCCTTCCCTTCTTTTTTATGCTGTCTTTCTTCATTACCTTTTTTCTTCTTTTTGTGTTTTTTCCACTTCTCTTTTACTTCTTGATTTTTCTTTACTATTTTCTTGTTTCTATCTCTTCTCTTCAAATAGTTATTTCTTTTTTTTTTCTCTCCCACTATTTTGCTTTCCTTTCCCTTTTTGCTCTTTTTAATTATACTTCGTTGTTTTTGTTTTTCTGTTACCTGCTTTTTTCTCCTTTATTATTTTGTTGGTGGTGGTGTTGGTGTGTATATTTCTTCTTCTCACCCCACCTGATGTGAGATAGCAACAGTGCCCAGACAGCCCAGTCACACCGTACCCTCTGCAGCTACATGCTCTGGCTTAAGAGCCACTACTAGATCTTTACCCGGTCAACAATACACAGCACCTAACACTAGCCAAACCCACCCTCAATTGTGCTGCACGGACAGCAAATGTAGAACTGTACACATGCTTCCATTCTTTAATCACACCCACATGGAGGCAGGTAGTAAGTACCCACAAACCCACCCATATATGGTCATCAATTAAATACAAATACAACAGCACTACAGCATCTCAAAGACAACAGTTTGAGTTCACATGAAAAATCAAAGAGTGGTTCCAATAAGTGATCACAATCCCCTCCCTGCAAAAGCATTTATCTTACTGCCTCCCTCTGGTTTCCCTGTTACACTTTATTTGATGTACGCATAAAAAAAAAAAAAAAAAAAAATTATTCACTTAAACATTCAAAGGGCACATCTTTCAAGCCAGATTCCTGCCCACAGGCACACAGCGTTTCTCAGTCCATGGGCCTAGAGTCCACAGCTGCTCTATTTCTTCATGCCAGTGCCTCTGCTTCCGTCTGTGTTGTAGGATCTCAATGTTTACGTGTCCTATTTCATTGTCTATTTATTTAAAGTTTTTATTGTGTATTGAGCGAGTGAAGGTTTCCTGGGCAGATCATCAGTTTTACATTCAGCAAATTGTTGTAATGATTACAATCCCCTCCACGCACCCTCAGCCAACAATATTTACCTCTATTACCCTTTTTTTTTGATGTACACATACCACACTGGAAATATATATATTTGTTTAAATATCCACAGGGCACATTTTGCAGACCAGCCTGCTGCCCACAGGCACACTGTCTTTCTCAGTCCATGGCCGAGAGTGCACTGCTGCTCTCTCTACGCCATCACCTCTGCCACCATCTCTGTTGTCACCGCTTTTCTGGTCAGGATCCCTCTCTCCTCTCATGTTCTTCCCTCTTGATGGTCTTAGGGTCCTCTGTTCCTGAAAAGACAGATTAAGTGCTTCCCACTTTTAGTTCTACATTTGCACTATGACAATCGCCATTACACCTGAGAACATTTATTCACAACTGGATCATAAAATCCTGTCCCCCTCATCACCGGATCCATCTGGACAACAGGAAAACTATTCTGTGGAATTTCTTTCGTACTCCCCTTATTCTAAGCACCCTCACAAAAGCTTGTAAACCAGTCACTTCTGGTATTTTTAACTCCGCAGTTTTGATAGCCAAAGTCTAAGTTGCCCATCTCTATCAACCCAGTGTACTGAGGAGACAAGCTTGACCCTTGATATGGAGAGTCCTTCCCTATTCAGCTGGAATTTGGGCAGCTTCATCCATAAGCGAAGGTCCAGTTGATCAAGTTGTAATGATTTACACTTGCTCCCTATATCGTTCTTCTTTATCTTCAACTGACCGAGTTCTGGCCAGCAAGCCATCTAAGCTAGGTCAAATGGGTACTGTCTTCAAGTTTGGGAGTTCTCGCATGCCTCCCCCCTTTTCAGACCAGCTAGCCACTTTACTCTTAACTCTAGCCCCTAGTGGACAGGTCAGTGTCCTTGGTTTCAGCAGCTCACACATCTCCCTGAATGTTAGACCTTTCTCATCTCAAGGCCATCAGGTGTCTACGGAACATGGCCAAACACAGCCCATGTCTTCATTGCTGCATTTCCCCCCTCTTCCACTCACAAGTTGACCAGGACAGTCGCCAGTGAGCATACAAGACTGTATTCCCATTGTGACTGTGAGTATTCCCTTGGTTTTCCATCTTAGAAAACCTGATGGGCTGACTTTTCTTGCCTTGATGGCTCCAAGGTGAACAGCTTGATATTGTCACAGCCACATAGTCTGAGTGTCTTTCCCCCATTGGTCTTCTTACAAGAAATATCTTCTGTTCTTCTCGCCCTTCTGTTTCTTTTCATTTGGGGATGTCCCTTCTCCCAAGGTTCTGTATGGGGTTCAGGAGTCCAGTTAAGGCCCCATAGTCCACATAGGTTTAACAAGTAGCCGCTTTCCCTGGGCATATTCTAGTCTCCTTTTAGATAATCCAATCAGTTATAGACTGAAGACGGGCTCACAAGCTTTCTGTAATCATAATTCTCAGTATTCCTTTCTAACCCATTTAAATGTCTATACTACATGAGTACGCAGGGGACCCCAGAATTCCCAAAACAGTCAAGTACCTTGACATTATTTCCCCTCCTTTTCCCATTCAGACAGTGTCTCTATCCCTGTATCATAGAGCCCTGTTGTTCCCAGGCTGTACATACGTCACGCTCTACCCCTCTATCCCATACAGCCTGTGCATACCTCCCTAAGTCTTTCCCTATCATCCCTGTTCCTCTACCCACCCCAGACACACACACACACACTTCTTGTGCATTGCCCTCCCCATCACCTGAGTTGTCAGGTGTCTACTAACCTGTGAGTTACTCTTCCCTCCCTGCCACCCCTGGTAGCCATCAAAGCATTATTCTTTTAGTATGGAAATCTTTTCTTAAGCTTTTACAATAATGATCTCATGCATTTGTCCGTTTGTGCCTGACTAATTTCACTCAGCATTATGTCCTCAAGAAGGTTCATCCATGTTATAAGGTGTTTTTTTATTTCATTTTTGACAACTTCCAATTTTCCTAGATTTGTACTCCATATCTTCCATATCAGATTATTAATGGATGCTTACAGCTGTTTCTCCTTATTTTTTTAGTTGTGCCCCATCAGCAGTGGAGGT